ATACCAGCATGGAAAGGATATAGACTGTCTTTCTGAACACATAAAGAAACAACTCCTTTCTGGGATGAACATATAGAATAAAACTCAGTTGAGAGTAAAAAATGTATTTCATTAATATAGCTTGATCTAATAATGTATAGCATTTATCTTTATTTGAGTATGCGCTGTTAGGATATTGATTCTGAAGGTTTAGATAGACTTTATTGTGTAAAATTATAGTTACTTACACTGTGATTCATGAACAGCATTTTTTCAAGAAATACATAGCTTTAAAAAAGAAGTATTTCAACCATAGACACTGATAGAAACTTGTACCAGGTCCAGATGGAGCTCAACATTAGCTCTCAAAGTGCTTCATATCTCTCTGACGTCTTTAAACAAACCAGCCACAATGGAAGCTGTCTATTCTACTCTTACCAATCTCACCCTCCCTCCAGTTCCACTCAATAATCTAAATATTTACCGTTTACCTACTTTCAAAGAAAATATACATTCTACTTTTGCATATTTAAATTTTTTTGTGGTGTCCATATACTTTTCGACATCACTATTCCCTCAGCACTGACCTGAGGGATAGAAGATTTGTCTGTAATTCTCACTGGTACTTGACTAAAAAGTTTTCATGTACATAGCTCCCCCATGTCTACTCACCTTGACTCTCATGGCTGGAAACTTCATCAGAATCACTGAGCACAGATTGTGTGACCTCTTCCTTAGATTTCATGAAATCTGGGAGATGGGCTCTGAGACCTAGAAAGAAGCAAAATGTTTCTTCCTTATCACATAACTGAGAAGAGTAATGCAAGGGGCTGGCTGTGGGAGAACATAAGAAAGCACTGTCCATCTGAACAAAGGCCTGCTGGAGAGAAAATTCAGACTACATGGATGTGTGCTATAGTAGCTGTTTCCTGCCCTCAGCCATGCATAGGATAAAAGAGAATCATAGTAAGAGGCTGAGAAGCCATAGTACAGAGAGGGCCTGGAGGATACTCAGGCTTGTCTCACCCCAGAACTCACTCTTACCTAGCTTAGTCATGGTGGTATAGTTTCTTTTCATATACACATACGTGATCTTCTCTGAACGGCTCAACTTTGCCCACTCTTCCTCGGAGAAGTATTTGGAGATATCCTTGAAGGACTAGAAAAGGAGGAAACTTTCAGTGTGGCAGCAAACCTGCCGTGCATGTGTGACTTTCAGTTTAGGGCATGACCTCTGCTCTAGACCTCCAGGCTCCACTTGGAAATTGGAGGAAGCGCTTGCTGGGTGGATTTGAGAGCAAAGAGAGAAGCTGTCCACTCTCTTCCTTAGCATGTGATAAGAGTTTCATTGATGTTTGCTTGCTCTCTTCCCACCTTCAGGAACAGGACATTTTGGAATAATTTGGAAGCCACCAAATTATTGTAGCACAAGGTCACAGACTGGCTATGTTCAGAGATTCTGGAGAAAGATCCTCTGACATTGTGTGGCCTACTATATCCCTGATGCTTCTCCACAGTGCTTCTGCATTCATCTACTGAGAAATCTAAGTTTCCATAGCATTCCCTGGCTACTCCTCTGCCCCACAAAGGTCACCTCACCTTGCATGTCTCCTCTGGCTTGTGCTTAGATTTTCCAAGGTTCACTGAATGAGAATTTCTCTCCATGGCACTGGGGATGCAATCTTCAAGGTATGCTTGAGCACCTTAAGCCTGAGGGAGAGGACAGCATCAGCCAATCACCTGAAATTAAATTTTACTATTTTCCATAATAACATGAGAAGTTACGTGGAGGGAAGCCTGGGCATAGACATATCTAGGTTAGGAATCTATGACATGACTGAGGTGTGTTTGAGTCTCCAAAGCACGTCAGCTACTGATGTTACCAGTCCTCCAGGATGTGTCCTGAACAGAAGGACACACAGAAAGATCTTTTTGGATGTGTTAGGCAGAAAGGAACAGTCCCCTACATTCTCACCAGAGTGTAAGAATGTTAATTTCATACATTGAGGAAGAGGGCGTCCTGTAGAGGGAGATAGGATAATGACTACAAAGAACAGTTGGAGAGGAGTAATGAGTAGATAAGACGCTCATGGTTTACAACCAATGTCTTAAAGAGAAGAATGAGAAATCTACAAGTAGAGAGACCAGGTAAATGTTTAATGACAGGCACTGTTAATCATCCCAATTAGATGACAATCTACTGGGTACATATCTTTATTTTCTCACTGTATCCCATAAACATACAGGGCTATTATATGTTCAGAAAACAAGAGACAAAAATCAGAAAAAAGTAGTTCTTATAAAGTCAGGCTTGGTGTTGAACAACAGTGACCCAAAAGTGTTTTTCATGAAGTAGTGGAACAAACATGCAGTATATTTTTAGAGGTTAAAACTTACTTTTCTAGAGCTAAATAAATAAATAAATAAATAAATGGGCAAAATCAGAAAGTTTTTATACTTAAAATATAGTTTCATTTCTTGATGTTGGGATTTTTCTTTCCAGGCATCTTAGTATATTATTATATTATTTATTTTAAAATAGAAATAAGGTATATGAATGTGTGTGTATATGTGTGTGTGTGTTCATTTTTATGCACGTGTACACGGAGCCCATGGTTCAATCTCAGGTGTCATGCCTCAGGAGGCATTCATCTTGGTTTTTAAAGACAATACTTTCTCCTGGTACATAGAACTTGTTAGCGAGGGAGTTCCAGGGAACTAGCTGTCTCCACCACTCCAGAGCTGAGAGGTCAAGCTGCCTTCTTTCTTAGGTTTGGGCTTCAACCAGAGTGCTGGAGATTGAACTTGGGTCTCATGTTTGCAGGGCTACTGTTTATCAACTGAGCTGTTTTCCCAGGCCACTCAAAAATTTAGTACACACACACACTCACACACACATGCATGCACACACACACACACACAAACACACACATACCACACATGCACATTGTCTTTATATCTGTACACACTGTGGTACTTCATTATATGTATGTATGTCAGCACATGTGTAGGCTTTTGTTTTTGCCTTTGAGACTGGCCCCAACTCCTGGGTTCAAAGTATTTTCTTGCCTCAGTCTGCTGACTGGATTATATTTATAGGATTATGCTATGGTTTGTCCCCATGATGTACAGTTTTGAATGTGGTGTTCAAGGATACAATGGTGAAAAAAATCCATCCTCTCTAAAGGATGGATTTTGGTTGATAAGGAAATGAATGCATATGAATTTAGTGTCTATTACTGGGTTCATCTGGAAATTACATAAATGAAGCCACGTAGACTCAGTGAGGCAACAGGACCAGATATGATTCATGATGAGGAAATATAGTTCCTTTGAAATTAGAGCACCCAAGGCTGGCCTTGCAGACCAAGACACTTGGCACTTTATCGTCTGATGTAGTAAAGCACTGCCTTGGGCACAGGCCATTTCCTCATCTACCACTGAGGAAATCTAGGAGCATCTGGCTGATTTAGGGATTTCTTGTGCTGGGGGTAGTATTGTTTCCCTCATAAATATTGACATAGTACTCTCACTGTATTACATGGCAATTTTGTGTAGGCTTTCGGGGAGATGCAACATTGTGTCAGCCCTCATAACTAAAGATATCTAGGTACTCAGAAGACATTGAACGGCTTAGCCTACGAAGGCCACCTGCTTTTCTTTTCTTCTGGTACTTGGACTAGAATTTAGGGCCTCACATATGCTAGACGAATGCTCTACCACTGAACTACATCACCAACCCATCTTCCTGTTTTTCTATTTGCCCTGGTTTAACTTGTCTAAAGCATCCCTCGGAGAGATCCTACCTTAGTCGCCAAGTATCTGCCAAACATTCCACAAAGAAGCATGGTAATTTAAATAGAGAATGGGGATCAACCAATCAGGGCAGTAAGTGAATATGAACTAGCCAATCAGGGAAAGAACCTGGGTGTGGTCAGTGAGGGAAGAAAGAATGTAGTGTGACATCCTATCTTACCGGAAGTAAGTTTTTCTAAAACGACTTTGGTCTTTGTGGATGAGTCTACCTGAAGGAGCAATTTTTTTTCTCTAGTGATACACTATTCTGAGATCAGCTGGGCTGCCTGTTCATGTGCAGCTTAAACGTTTATTGTTTGTGTGGGAGAGAGTTGTTTGGGGCCTTGAACTCAGGATTTGCCAACTGCTTTGCCCTCGGGAGAGCTGGGATTAAGGACAGGCGTGCACCACCACACTGGGCTTCAGGTTTTCCCTTTTCATCCTGACTTCATCTTCTTACCCTCTGGTGAGTGGATATAAACCTTTATAAAAGTGTGTATATGATGCAGACTGGCATCTCAAACCCTTCTCACTCCATAAGATGGAAGAGATCCATAAGCTCTCTAGCAGAACATAACCCCCTCCATCCCCCCGCAAGTTTGTAGGAAGCAATTTGAGTACTGCTGAGATGGCTCTTTGAGTGAAGGTAGTTGCCACCACACCTAACAATCTCAGCTTAATCTCCAGAGCCCATAGAGTAGATGGAGAGAGCCTCCCAAATACTTGCTGTCTTGTGAGTTCCACTGCAAGGCTACAGCTTTCCCCTACAAACAAACAAACAAACAGCAGTTGTCAAGATTTCAAATTTTTCTGGATATGATTTTCCCTCAAAGCCCCGGGAGCTAGAAGTATATTTTATATGTAATAATATTTATACCAACAGTACTAGAGAGTGCCGGTGACCTCGGACGAAGGCAAGGTCTGCAGAAGGCTGGATGCAAGAGCAGTGAAAGGAAAGAAGGTTCAGATAGGGCACACCATTTTTTCATGAGATGGCATAGGGTGGAAGCAAATCTTGGTATGGCTTTTTGTACTGTGACAACTTTTGTCTGTTTCAGGCTTTATTTATACATATAACTATTTCCTCAGAAATTTTATTCGTTGATTACACAGCTTTTCAAAATACATTTTCTTCTAAAATCTTCCTTGATTGCATAAGAATATTGAAAGAGGAATAAAGATAGCAAATAGCAATTTTATGAGGACTAAACATTAACATTATGATAAAATCAATTTTTTAAAAAACACAGTATCTCCTTCCTTAAGATTGGTGTCATAGAACCTTGAAGTTACAGGAATGCCTAACAGGATGACTCTATATGAATTTGATTCTGTTTCAGTTTGGCATAAGTTTAATAGGTCTAAAGTCATTTCCTACTACCTATTACATCAAACTTGGCTTTCTATCAAAGTTCAATCTCTAACTCTTATTTAATTCTTCCTTTCCTTCTCTATATTTCTTTTATATTTGACATAAGACCACTCTTTCTTTTCTTTGATTCTTAAAATTTTGTGCAGCCCCTTTGATTACTCAAGGGTGGTCTATCATTAAAGTTCTGGTCTGGCAAGTATGTTCAGGAAGGCATGCAGTTCACTGAACCAAGATGTCCTCCTCTGTGTCTCTGTCTTGAACCTCTGTTTCAATATTATTTCTATCTTTATTACAGTTCTATAAAGAACAGAAGAAACTCAGGATTCTTAAAACTGCTTACTTTTGCCTTCAGTAAAAGTACCAAGGCTTGTCACTAACTATCATGATCAAAATCTCTTCCTAGTAATACAAGTTCCTTGTTTCTAAAGTTGAACATTAGAAACTTAACAATTCAATTACAGCTTGTCAGCTTCTAAAATTTTCCTAAGTTTCCAGGGAACTTTCATAAATTTATTCTTGTTGACACTAGCTTTTTGTTATCCAAGCTCTAGTTTTTGGAAAGAGGTCACAGGCCTCAGTGGGGAAGAAGCACCTAGCCTCACAAAGACTTGTAGTGCCAGAGTGGAGGAGGAATACGGAGGGGGCCCCCAACTGGCCCAGAGGAGAAAGCGCAGGGAGAATGGGGGAAGGACTGTGGGAGAGGTGACTCAGAGTGAGACAGTGAGTGGGATGTAAATAAATAAATTGAATAATAAATAAAATATTAATAAATAATATTAATAAATAATTAATAAATTAATAAATAAAAATTAAATAGAAACCATGAATAGATTTAATTACCTGATAGTGACACATAAGGGGCAGCTGTGTTCTATTCCTGAGCACTGTTTTGTACAGCACATTAGAAACAAATTGAATGTGTTTATAATTAGAATAATAAATTATGATTACAAGGAAATTCCTTATGGATGTATATGGATGTAGTAAAATTATTTAATTAGAAAATAGAGGAGCTGCCAGCTATAAAACTCTAAATGAGATACTGTGTTTAGAAACTTTAGGACTCTTTGAGGCCACATATGTGGGAATTCATGCAACCAGACACCTGGGATATGGGATGTAGCACTGTACATTCTTGCATTCACTTCCTGGGCACTATAACCTCACATTCCATAAATAAGCAACACCTCTAGGTTTCCAGAATTTTCATTTTCATTTCTTCCTCTGTGAAATAAGATAATTAAATGCACATTTCTTGTAGGCCTTTTATAATTTGCCTTTGTGAAACCCTTAGTACAAGGCTGGTGCACATATGATATGGTCAACACATGTTAGCTTTGTTTATGTTTTTTAATCCATGAACATGTCAAAATATTATTAGTCATTTTCTGTACCCTGATTGCTTTATTTATTTATTTATTTTCTAATTTATTTTTTCTCAAATTGTAATTAATTCACACAGGGGTTATAAACACAGAAAGGCAGGATGTGGGGAAGG